ATGGGTCGAATGTGGTTAGAACCGAAACCGAAGTTCGATCGAACAGTTGAAATAAACAGTTCTATTGAAATGCGGTTCGTGTTTATTTCAAATGTACCAAGGCATCTGTTTACTTGAACTTGTTCGGAGAGCGCCCTCTGTTGTCTTTTGGTGTTTTATTGTATAACTACTCTACCAATGTTAAGACATTAAAACACATCACCTTTGATATGAATGGGCCTAAATTTATTTTTAAGCAAAATATATATTACTATCAAATATAAGTGACTTTAAAAATAAAAACCGAACTTCGGTTATAATAAACTGTATTCTAAAATAAATTAAACTGAATATGAACCGAGTTTCAGCCCATCACTACTAAATACAATACCATAATATTATGTTTCACATTTCATATTGGTAGCCAGAATGATACGAACATCAGTTAAACCTTCAATGCATATATTTAGTAACAATTTTTACATATGTTTCTTTCCATGATGATGAGTTTTATGACCACAAATTTCCGATACGAATGACAAAGTCGCTCCTCTATTTGTCTAGATAGTATATAAAACAAAAATTTCGTGTTATTTACAGATCCAATTCGAAGTTTAGGACTAAAAGTATATTTACAGCCGCTATGAAAATTATAGAAATTTTAAAAATAGATAACATTTAGTTTTACAACTAGAATTGATACAAAAGAATGACACCTATTCAATATTTACAACAGTTAATCTAGGAAGGCGTTCTAGCTGTTTACAATTATACAAGAGACCTGAACGAAATTCGGTTAGCTACGAAAATAAATTACTAGCTCATTAGGGGCCATAGATTTATCACGAGAGGCTAAAAGGGGGGAGGGGGAAGGAAGGGGGGGGGGTTATGAAATATGTATCAAGATGTCGCGATATTTCTTTCGTCGAAAGCGAGACCTTGACATATAGTTAATAAATTTCCTAATACTTCCATCAAAACAACCTTTAAAATGTCTGCCTAGACATAGTTATTATGTCCGTAACTTCAAAATAAGATAAGATTAATATAAACCTTTAAGTATCTCTGTAGCGTAAATCAAACGCGTTGCCTGGATCTGAAACCTGAGAAAACAACGAATTGTTTCGGTCAGGCAAGGCGCAGAAGGTCGACTACTTGCTTGTAAATAAAATTCATCAATGAAATGGCCACAGAAATGTGCATGCCCCACGTCCAAGGGGGGGAATGAGATTTTCTTTTAAGTTTAAAATAAAAAATATCTAAATATTACAGGTAATGTTGAGAAAGGTGTAAATTCTATAGCCCGCCATGTTAATACCAAGAGGGAGTGGTGGATTAAAAAATGCTTACGCGATTAATGCACAGCCCCTGAAATAATCGATAGTGACTTAATTTACAGATATGTATTCGATGCTTTATTGACTAATATAATAATTCTATCTATAATGCGTAGGATACTTGCGTTAAATCAACGAACACTCGTATACTGGGGTGGAAATAGAATTTTTATCACATTTTAGACAAGCACCGTTACGCTGAAACCACTATACTTTGTCTAAAGTAGGATGGTCAATTTGACAGTTGATGCCTCAAAATGTTTATTTTATTTATTTGTTTAAGTATACTGAAAATAGTACTGTATTTATAACACGGTTCGTGTCTTAAAACGAATAAAAAAAAAACAAAACAATTTTAAAATGTAGTAAATGTATATAATTAATAAAATAATTTTTAATGATTCAAGACTTGGTCCGATGACCTGATAAGACACGTCTTTTAAAAGAATTATCTAATCTAAACGTGTAAACTAAAGGTACAGAGTAATATTGTATTTTTTTTACGACAGACTCGTTGGGGATTAAACGAACCGTTGTTTAGCCGTACATTACTATTACACTAAAGAGCCCGTCAATATAAAAAGAAATAATGCAAAATATTTAGTTACAAATTGAAATATATACCGCGACTAAAAGTTTTCTTAAAGCCACTTGGGTTTTCGTGCTGTACGGCTGTTGTAATTGAGAAATGGTTCACGACGTTTCGCCATCACGGGTGAACAAAGATAACGTCTTCATGATGACATCATGAAGACGTTTTCTTTGTTTATAATATTTTACATAAGCATCAGTCAAGTAGATTCACACACGATTTCTCATTTCCATAGTAATTTGTCAAACTTATCCTCCACAAGACAAAGTACAGAACGAAGATCTACGAAAAAAAACGACAAGCTATACACAACTTCGCCAAGTAAAGATTTGTAAGCGAAAGCGAATCGCAAGTATCCCAAACTTACTCTATCGGCAACGAAATTCTGACCATATTAACACGTCTTAAGAGAGATTCATCACGTCTCCAATTGTATTAGGCAGTTGAGAATTTGAAGGAGGGAAAGTGTTAACGTCATTATACTAAATGTAGACGCCTCGGCTGAACTTCGCACTGAAACAAACAAGCCTCATTATTATTCAAGTTAATGGAAGGACTTGGCGTAATGATAACTGTGAATGTAAGATGAAGGGGCTCTGTTACATATTTAGGAATGGTTGTGCGAAACTTGCTTAGCTGGATTTTCGTATTACAGAGCCATCGTACTGTGCAGACAAATATCTTTTTTACTCGCGTGTGGCACCGCTGTCCACATTCTAAGGACCCACTGAAAATCAGTTTCAGCTCAAAAAAGGACCTGATATAAGTTGAGTAAGATCCTATTCTAGCTACTAGCGACACACTTGACACTTGAACCGGCATCGACAGCGTTCCGTGCTGTTGCTCTACCAATTGAGCTACCGAGTCAAGTTCTGTCCGAGTCTAAAATTTTTTCAATCTATTTTCGATTTTTAATTTATTTTATACTGTTAAAATGTTTTATTTTTTATTTAGTAATAAGTCTTATGTATATTTATATGTGGTTTATAATAGTAAATATACTTAATTCTCTTTCTCTATATCTCACATATTCTCTCAATTTTTTTATTGTAAATGAAAGTTTAAAAATCTGAGCAAATCCGAGTTGAAATGGCACACGAATGTTTTACTATTAACTACAGGTAGTTATAAGTACAAAAGTGATCACCATTACACGCAGTTATCAAGAAACTAGCTACTAGATGGTTCCCAGCTTTAACGGGTTAATAATAATCAAGGAATCCAAAACTGTTTGTTACCCATATAGGTAAGTTAGTGCACATTTCAACGACATCATAGAGAGGCCGTCATATAATTTTTCCAATCTGAGCTTTTTAAATATTGTTTGTTTTTGGCTTGACAGCTTATAACAATATGTATCTGTTTAAAAAACATAAGTACAAACATAGTTCATCTTTATCTTGCACTTTACTTCAATAAAAGTAACTAGGTATATAATTTGAATAAATGATTAAGCCTTAAAATTATTTATAGAACTTGATATAGTAATCCATTCACTCACTAACCATATTACACACGCCATGCAGTGTATATTTATCTTAAAATGTAGATTTCCGCACGTGCTTCAAATAGTATACCGTGCAGGTAACTTAGTTGACAATTTACGTAAAGGAACACACGTTTGTTAGTTTCAGACAATCAAATAATGTTCAAATTCCAACCAACGGGTCGGGAATGGATAACAGTATTATGACGTCATAACAACCAAAGATTTAGCACCGACGATGTTAAATATGTAAATCGTGCTATCCACCAATAATTTAAAACGTAATTTAAACACGAATAAAATAGTATGGCCATTTATTTGCGCATAGTAACATATTAAATTATTTTTGAAACGCCATTATTAAACACGCATTCTTAGCAGCATACTTACTGTCTGTAGTACACATTTAAATAAAACACTTTAACGGTTTAAAACGCTATATATTAGTTAAACTTGTTTGATAATTAGTTTAACTACGGCCCGATGTTTCGGATGCTTTGCAGGAGGCGTGGTATCTATACCACGGCTTTACGTTTAAATAATATATATCGCGTTATTTAAATGTGTACTACCCTCGTAAACTTCAAACTATAGACAGAAGTAATTTATTAAAATTACCGCAGCATTTTTTGAATGAAACATAAAAACATATTGTGTATAGTTTAAAAAAATAACTATTTCTTGAAACATCGTCGGGTAATAAAGAAGAGTATAATTAATTCCATTCTTTCTCCTTCTTTACTCCGTTTAACACAAAATGGAGCATAATGGCTAGAATACATAATCTTCAACGGCGAAGGAATATGAATTATACAGTCAATTTTTGAATTCATTTCGTTGGAACAGCGAGGGGGAAATTATGAGCTGTGATTAAATATAATAACGCTGTATTCTCTAAATTGAAAATATCGCAGTTCACGGTTAAATCGTTCGTAATGAAAATTAGGAAGATACTTTTTCATTATTTGGAGACGGCGTTGGTACTGTAATTAAGATTATTATTTGTTCAGTATCACGTCACTATAAATGTCGTAGTCCTTGAACAGTTTACACGACTCTTAATATTTTGAAGAGGGTCTATAGACCGCCATTGTCGCCGAACATGTTGTCTAGGATTGAGTGCGAGAACAATAGATTATTTTCGGACAGGGCCCAGAAGTCTGATCAAATACTTGCCTGTAAAAGAGCCGATAAGTGAAACGGAAACATAAATGTGTTCGCCCCATGACCTAGGGGAAACGGTATTTCACTATATAGACAATAGGACTCAGTAACCAAATGCGAGTGTGTAGACGACCCATATTCTTTAAACTAAAGTTTAAACTACCTCAGTGGTTTAGACGCACTTACTTAGAGTAATTGCTATTTTTACTGAGTTCGAATACTCGAATGAATGTAAATAAATTTGTTTAAAGAAACGGATATAAAATTGAGTTTGTCTTATATGTATTAGAGGTAGTGAAAGGTTCACCTACGGGCGTATTGTAAAATGTATATATAATTATTAGTTGATATATAAGGTGCGTCAATGGGTTGTTTGATTATTGGATGGTTTCCGGTTCAGGTCCCGCCCTAATCGTTAACCTGAAATAGCGTTTAATTTTATTTATGCTTCCCGCTCACCTAATAACATAGCTTCTTTACTGTCAGCTAGCTGGCTATTGCCCACAACAGCTTCGCTTCCCTCCCGCCATGCGGGCGCAACACGGGCAGTACATTTTACTTGCATGGTTCTTCCTGTGGGCACCAACAATCCTAGAGCTGTTGATACCAGCCCGTGCGCATGTTGTATTGGTGGGTACTGTACTAGTAAGTTTGGGTCGGTCACCTATGAACAAATATATTTATTTAATAAGGCTTAATAACTAGGTATACAAACATTCTTAACTACCTAACTTATAAGGTTACGTCTGTAGGTTAAAAGTGTTGCTCGAGAGGTCCTGGGTTCGAGTCCCAGCGAAACAATTGATTGATTAGGTCGGGCGGGGAAAACAAGCCTAATCAACTACTTGTCAGTAGAGGAACCAATCAGTGAAACGGACATAGAAATATGTTTGCCCCATACCTATAAGGTATAGGAAAATATATCGATATAAAATCTATTTTTAGTGTGACTTCGGGTTCGATTCCCATCCGAGTCATGGAACTTTTCGAATATAACATAGATTATTAATTTATTATTGTTATAAAACTATCAAGTAAAAAATCATAATGTATTGATTTTGTATTTTAATAAAGTAACGTAATGTAAAAAACTACGTAAATCGACTAAATGGTGAGAATAATATCTTAATTACGTGTCGACATACCGCTCGAAAACTAAGTAGCTTAGCAAAATGGCGTAATCACACGTAAAAAGACTCTACTTAACATACGAACGAAGACAAAACAATTTGAAGCAAATCGCTCCATCAATCATACTTACAGATATATTTTGCAGAGGCATATTTAAATCAGATATCGTTTTAAGATCTCACAACAGTAACAGCTAAGCTCATTTAATTATAAAGTTTTAAAGTACACAAAAACAAATTTAATTAAAGCGAATTTGATTGCCCAAAAGAATCGGATGAAATTAAATTCTAAAAAAAGAAAATATTTTAGTAACACTTCCCAAAGATTTAAGGTTTGGCCTCCTCTAGAGATTGATTTATAATTAATTAATCGCATACTTTGGCAACTTCAAATTTAATCAGTTATAATCTATGGTTAGTCAATATTTGAAGGAAGATTCTTCGTTTTCGGGAAATACGAACAATAAATAGATAATATAAAATATTTATTGCATCAGTCCTTTTTTTCCACAGCTGGGATTCGTGCTATCTAAGAGAATCGTAATCTATCATGCTGATAAAAATCATTATGATACATGTTATCGATTTTTTAAATTGTAAGTTTTAATTTAATAAAAGGTACGTGTGTCAATTTTTTTTTGTGCACGTGCAAATTTCACACTTTCTACCCACGAATGTTAGGCGGGCTCAAGTCAGGGAACCGACAATAAAAAATATATCCCTTTTTATCTATACTAATATATAAATCTTTTGTTTAGTAATAAAACTACTAATATGTAAAGAGTTTTATTTGTTTGAACGCGCTAATCTCAGAAACTACTGAAAAAATATTTTTGTGTTGGTTAGAGCATTTATCGAGGAATGCTATAAATATTGGACTAATAGGAGCGAATAAACAGCGGAAAAAAACGGAGAAAATTATTCTGTTATGTTATGGGTTTCCGATGCGTGCGGTCCGAAAATAAGCTAGAGGTTCAAGATACCCAAAATTATGTATGAAAGAATGATTCCTCTTTAAAGGATCTAAAAAGTGTCCGCGACACTATATGTCTATTTATAAAGAGGTTTACAAAAACAGGTATTCTACGCGAACGAAGTCGCTGGCGCAGCTAGTGTACTAAACTCACCTTTTCACCGTCAATATCCCAACTAAGGACTGCCGCAGGGTACGATCGACTGGAAGTGCAGTTCAGAAATAAGGAGTCCCCTTTTCTATTCTCTTGTTCGTTGCCTGTTATTCTAGGAGCCTCTCTTGGTAAATCTGCATAACACATTTGATAGTAAATAAAACTAAAATATATTATTATCTATATAAAACAAATGAAAAGCAGAATCCAATTTTTGGCAAATGGCGCATTGTTTCGATTCTGTATCTATATTTATAGCTGTCATTTACCAATTGTCAATTTTTTTTTATCCTAATAGGTACGTTACGTTGGAATTCAAGTCACTCATTGCAAGATTATGCTAATCCAAAGCTGTCCAATCCAAAGCTTACGTTTTGTAGTAATTTTAACATTAAAAGGTTATTCGATATTACGTGCATTAAAATCTACAATAATAATTTAAAAATATATTTAAGATTGCAAAACTTCGATGACATAGGCGGAACTTGAACTGCCATCCACAGAGATTGTGCCCTAACCAATTGACCTACTGTTTCCCTGTCATTATTATATTCTTTTTGGTCAATCTTAATTGTTTTTTACGTTTTATATTAAGTTAAGAATCGACTTTAAATTGGAAAAAAATTACGACTCAAGCAGGAGTTGAACCGGTACCCACAGCGTTACGTGCTGTTGCTTTAACTAATTGAACTACCAAGTCATTGTCACCTTATATGAAGTTTTTCAATGTAGAAAAATATCTTTACATTTATTTCTATTACTTAACCGATGTCTTTCAATAATGAGTTTATATCATTGACTACTTCCGTTCTGAATACCTAGAGCATAGAGTTAAGTCAAAGTCGATACAATTCTATTCACTGTGTCATTCCTTGACCCCCTTTGTCCATAACTTTGTATATCGAGGCACAAATCACGCCGTCCAATGAACGGAATAAAATAATTATCTCCAATCGTAGATTGATAAATGAGCTAACGGATACAAAATAATTACTGTCGAAATAATGCATCGCATGTCCATTACTATCCCACAATAATATACATATATTGTGTGATCAACTGAAATAATTGGTTTTGGCTATCACTGGGCCTATTGTGTGGAATAATGTACAATAAAACTGATTGCATTATATTTAGGGCGACCGAAATTTATTCGACAAAGTGGAAGGAATATATCCATTAATCTATTTATGGCAGTAATCTGTATTAACCCATCCTTGTGTATCTTAATTAATGTTATATAATTAGCTACAATCCCAAATTAGTGGTATTGGAACGATATTAACTCGCGTATTTCAAAACTTCGGAGTACTGAGTCTGTAGTTTACACGAGTAGTACCTACACATTGAAATAAAACACTTTAACTGCTTAAAACTTATAAAGTAATTAAACTTATTTGAATGCTATTTTAACTACGGCCCGACGTTTCCGCAGCTTCCCCGTGACCACGGCTGTTTTAAAGCATCCATATATCGCGTTTTAAACCGTTATAGTGTTATATATAACCCGACGTTACCGACCGACGTAGTTAAACTAATTTTTAAATTCAAATAAGTTAAACAAATATATATCGCGTTTTAAACCGTTAAAGCGTTTTATTTTAATGCGAAGTACTGGTTATTGCATATTAGGTAAACTAGGCGCGCAATAAAAACAATTTTTAATCTAACTCGGGAGCTAACTTCCGCGTATTTTAATCTAGTCGGCTGCGGAAGCTTTAACAAAATTGAAAACTTTTATGAGAGATTGTGGGAACTCACAAATAACATCCATTCTTCCTTCGCCAGCGGCGGATGCGAAACTCGGGGCTTCCGCCGAGACCTCACATCTGTACAGGCCAGATGATTTGAGGGTCACCTGGTGCAAGACGACTCGCCGCTCGTCTGATTTCGACAGCTGCAAACAGAACTTGGCGGTATATCTCTGAACTAGAATTAATAATTTGGATTTTTGTTGTTCAAGTTATTTTGTGCGTTAAAATTGTGTTTGTATTTTCACTACCGGAAGGTGTCGCGTTGATTAGCTATTTATTTAATACTAGCTGATACGAACGTTGTTTTGTTAATTGCAAGAAATATGTTGATACAATTCTAACAAATAATTGGTTAAATTTCTATCACACTTGATATTATAGTTATCAAACGGTTACCATAACATCTTTTAATTTTATAGATCGTTAAAGGTTTTCCTACATTTTTGGTCCTATTTTAAACACCTGTTTTAGAAACGAGTATGTTCCAATTCTAAAATTTATTGATTGCCACATAAGAAGTAAGTACTTGATGACTATTATTGAAATATTTTTATCTTTCGTAATTATGATATTTAAACCTCCTTTTAGAAGGATTTTACAAAAAATATTCACTATCATTTAATAATCAATTAATGGCTTGTATAATTTGATTTATGAGAGAGCTTTGTAATGCAGAAAAATAATTTAAAACTGGTAATAATTCTCCATTTTATTTCGTTTTTATGAAAGTCGCGATTTTGGGACTAACAAGGGTTCGTGGATCTTTGACTGCAAAATAACAATAATAAAATAAAATAATTTATTGCTTATTGCATTATTTTGCTACACATTGTTTTATTACGATCTAGATTGCAAATTAAAAATTACTACGTTAGTATAAAACAGTACGAAAATATCGTATCGTATGGATGGTATAAATACAAATAAATAAGTAAACAAGTCATAAATCCGACTGAAACTGATTTATTACCCGAACCGGAGATCAGTCCTTGTCAAGAGGCGTAGTTGAGCTTTGTTTCATAGGCCGCTTGTATTTTTTGAAAAATTGCCACTTTAAAATACATCGCTATTGCACAAAATTGTTTGTTGATTACGGCTGTTTATTATAAACATGAAAATGTTAGTAACGCTGTGGGGCATATGGCGAACACATTTCTATATCTGTTTCAATTATCAATTAAATGTCTATGCGCAGTCTAACTTCTGTGGCCTGTCCGACCGTAACGTTTTTGATTTCCCGAGATTTGATCTCCTCACGTATTTAGCGCCATGCTAAGAAACACGTTTGACCATTGAACTACGGTTCACACACATAAAATAGAGAATATTCTACGGTAGATATAGCTTGTCTCAGCTGTGTAACGAATACTAAGGAACTACCAGTTCGAAGTGACTTTTTTTTTGTAATGGATTTATCTAGAAAAACTCGAAGTTTTTAGCCTTTTAACATCACGCTGCAACTAAATAGAGGTAAATGTGAAAAAACTTGGTTAAACTGTGGTACGAAACGATTCAAGAAACCAAAAAATGAGATCCATCTTCAAAATCTTTTAAGATGAACTTGCAAGAGCCGTTTGTTATTACAACTATATATATAATAACAATATATAATAATAAATTAACATGTATTGTTGTTGTATAACCAACAAAACAAGTAGTATTCTATATGTCGAATTTTTGGTTATATTATTGTACATTTTTGTATTATAAATTATAATGGCCTATTTATTTCGGCCCCAAGTAAACTTCAAACTCGTCGTTGAAGACGGTAAGAATAGATTGGAATTATGTTGATATAACATTGACTATCTTTACGTTACTGTTGGAATGGAATAAAATAAAAATATTTCTTCACCATTACAATCCAACCTTTTAAGGAATAATATTTTCTTTACATTTGTATCAAATTTGATCAAAATCAAACACTACTTCTGAGTAATAACGTAAAGTGCTTTCGACGCTTATCTTTACATGAAAAAACTTAACACTTAAGTTAAACTTTGTCGTTATTTGCTTTGATTACAGTCCAGACATTTGGTAGGGTGATTTGTGACATATATCTATAGATTATACATATATGTCACAATATTAATATATAGATTTGTATATACATTGTATACTAAGGCGAGTATTTTATTTCCGGGGATCAATGCGTCTGAATCCCGGGATGTTTAAAACTGCTTGTGTAAAAACAGACATAGAAATATGTTTGGCCCATGCCTCGAACATACAAACACGCTAAGTGTAATACCCCAGCCTAATAACATCTAAACACGATTCGCTGACGAACTATTTTAATTTATTAATTAACATTGAAAATGATATTATACATATTATAAGACGTATGTCTACTCTGAAATAAAACAATTTATGGTATTTTCGCGTAGATGATGCGAAATAAATGTTATTTTTTTATTATTCGGCCCCAAGTGGGTCAATGGCTAAAAATTAAAATAACAAAAATCTATACTTATATTATAAAGAATGCGAAAATAACTCTGTCTGTCTGTCCGGCTTTAACTCCGAAACTACTGAAGTGATTTAAATTAAATTTTGTACACAGATATTTTAGAGCCTGAGAAAGAGACATTGACTTAATGCCAAAAAAGGGTTGATAGGAGTTGAAAAAGGGGATGAAAGTTTGGGTGGAAATTCGTGATTTTTAAAGCTAGAACAATGAAACTTTCTCATTTGGCTTTTTGGGAATATGAGTGTAAGAGTGGGCGTGGGATTGAGAGTGGGAGTGGGGGTTAGAGTAGGAGTGATGTGAGGCGAGAGTGTTGCGGAAAAGTAGCACTTACTATAGATTGGCTGGCTTAAATGCACCCTTACATAAATTAATAAACAGCCTATATAATTAAAAATTCTACCCCAAGTCACTATTCCACGCAGACGAAGTCACGGGCGCAGCTAGTATTTATATAAATATTGCATTTTGAAGAGTTAGAACTACTCTACTGAATACAACAATTCAACTAAATAGATACTCACTTCGACCTTTACCCCGTCCATTTTGTAAGCGTGCTTAGGCGGGTCATACTTAGGCATGTATCTGTAGAATTCCTCATTATCCCTGTACCATTTGACTGAGTACAAGGTGTCGTCCCCAAGTTCGAATTCACAATCCATTTGCGCTGGTTGACCCCGCACGCGGTACGAAGGGACAGACACCCGTACTATCCGCAACAGAAGGGACTCTGCAACAATTAATGTGTCCTTCACAACCTTTATCTAATTATTCTTAGTCTATACTTAATATATAAAGCTGAAGAGTTTGTTTGTTTGAACACGCTAATCTCGGGAACTACTGGTTCGAATTGAAACATTATTTTTGTGTTGGTTAGATCATTTATCAAGGAAGGTAAAAGCGAAGAAACAGCGGGGGTCTTTGTGGATTTCCGATGCTGCGAAAACGGTTCAGGATACCCAAAAAAATATATATGAAAGATTGATTCTTCTTTAAATGATTAAAAAAAATACCATATGTCTATCTTTTAACATTAACTTGCAAGAACGACGGGACGCGACCGACGTCGTGGGTCAAAGTTAAATTTCGTAAAGTGAGGTGAGGAGGAGGTTTGCAAAACGAATTTGGATGATCAAAATAACTATTCTACGCAGACGAAGTCGCTGACGCAGCTAGTTAACAATATACGTAATTGTTAGGAGAGAAAATAGTATAATGATGAATACCTTATTAGCTTCACTTCTCATTCATTATGGACTTTATGATTGTTAATAATAACTATATATATCACTTACAAAGTAAACTAGCTTCGAAAATGAAGTAAACTATTTTTTTATGATAATACGTAGAGAAATACAGAATATCTCTCAAAACTTTTTTTAGCAATGTATGCCAATAAACAACGGGTTGTGGAATACTGTCTATAGTTTACGCGAGTAGTACACATTTAAATAAAACACTTTAACGGTTTTAAAACGCGATATTAGTTAAACTTATTTGTAAATGATTATAACTTCGGCCCGACGTTTCCAAATAAGTATAACTAATATATCGCGTTTAAACCGTTAAAGTGCTTTATTTAAACGGGTTCTGGGTTCGATCCTCACCGAGTCCAACATGTTTATAAATTTATACTTTTACTGAAACATATTGGACTTCGTGTGGACATTTGGATATTATACGGTTGGTATACAAAAAGGGTGGTATACAGTCCGCAGATAAAAAGGTGTCAAGTTTTATTGCGTTTCGGCTTCAGTCTGTAGATTTCCGAATATCCAATGCCAAAACAGTTTGACAGCGCATCTTATAGAGGTGTTATATGGTTAGGATATTTAACCATTACTTTACCATCACGTAAACCTCATGCTTGCCTGTCTTAATCTATTATAAAAAATACATTTTTATACTCCCCGGGGAGACTCCCCGTGACCACGACTGCTGCAAAGCATCCAAAACGTCGGGCCGAAGTTAAAAATCATTTTTAAATAAGTTTAACTAATATATCGCGTTTTGAACCGTTAGTGTTTTATTTAAATGTGTACTACTATAGACAGTATTGAATACATTTTTATGTTAAAAAAACTCCCCGTGACCACGCGGCAAAGCATACGAAACGTTGCGCTATAATAATGCGTAAATAAGTTTAACTGATGTATTTCGCGTTTTAAACCGTTAATTTGTTTATTTAAATGTCTTAATATTTTTAGTCTGTCTGTGCAATAAAGAGTTTCTTTATTATGGTTTTATATTACTCGCGACAACTACAGACATCTTAAGTTTCCAATCGACCTAACCTAAGGAATTAAAAAAAATAACAATTGAAACTCAATTCAAAACTTCGCGGAATCTAGATAAAAGTGTAGGCCAATTAGTGACAAAACTTAAAACTGTGTGAGATAAGCCGAACTTTAAGGTCGGGGCAATTAGATAACTCTTCAATAACTAAGAGGAAATTCCGAATTTAAATGTCCAAGGTTTCCAAAGTTTCATTTCGAGCGTACATATTTCGAGTCTCGCTCGCCGTCAAATATTTTGCGATTCATTACATTTTCCCCCGTTAATATCGTCAAAAATTACGAGTATTGACTTTATTACGATACACGAAAAAACTTTCTGATCCGATGAATGTTTTATTACAGCAATTCGAATTTTCGGTGAAATATTTCCAGTTCTTTTTGAAAAGTAAAAATAGTTTTTCACTTAATAATAATAATAATAATTTATTTGTCAGACCATAAATCCAAACTTTAATTTAAAATAATTAATAATTAATTAATTCTACACACATGCGTTAGTTGGGTTAGTAACAATTTTTAACTTAAAATGTATATTAGAATGTGTGTGTTAATGGAACGGCAAATACCACAGCCATAATAAATAAATAAATAAATCGACCGAGACGCATAAACAACTTCCTTAATAAAATAAATGTAGTTATTAAGCTTTAAAATCGACAATAAATTTAAACTCTACCGATTACTAGGACTCGGTAGCTCAACAGCGTTGAGCACTGATTGTCATATGACGTTCCACGCTGTTGCTGTAATCCGGTTCAAGTCTTGCTCGAGTCGAATTTTTTTTTCAATTTATTTTCGATTTTAAATTATATAGTGCCTTTATGTGCATAACATGTGAAAAATATTAAAGTTTTCAAACGTTATTTAGGTTTCACATAATTTCGTATATAACAGCTACTTACAAACATTAATTTCATTATTAAAATAACCCATAACTGTACATAATAGTTTAAGGAAATATAGGCTTCATTTTTTTTTTAAACCCACAGACTGAAACCGAAACGCGATTAACTTTACTGCTTTTTCATCTGTAGACTGCAATTTGTTACCAAGACGGAATTTCGATATTCGTACCAGCTATTTAATATCGAGATTTCGAGAACATTTCTAGTTTCAGACAAAATATAAATTAATTAGAACTAATTTTAAGCAAGCGTTGCTATCATTAGATTAACTAGGCCATCAAAAAGCGTCAGGAATGAACAAGCCTTATAATCCACAGTACTTAGGAATTTACGCAAAACGTAAACGATTTACGCGTTCTTTGTTTAGCTTAAGCTATAGAATATAAGCCATAGTACGGTTATAGCGTGCGTAAACAGGTCACTGATCTCCCAGGGTGAAAGGCTTTCATTGAAATCAAAAGGCATTTATATAGATATGCTCTGACGTATTGGGGTTTGATAGAAAAGTTAAGGGAGCCATGAATATTAGATATCTTTCTTTATTTGTGTCAGAATTGTCAATTGTATTGAATTTGAGATGGGTGTGGTGAGTTCGTTTTGGAGAAATTGTTACATCAATGTATTTTTATTTATTTTTTAGAGGTTCTTTATTTAAAACTTCGTCTAAACAATATCGATCCTCGAATATTCAAAGCCAAACGTAGTTAGATTTGTTTTTTTTTTCAATAGCGGACAGACATGAGCATGGGTTTTATATGATTGAATGGAAATATTCAAACCATATAACATTTAATACGATGCCCTGTCGACCTATTATTTTATCCTTCATTTCAAGACTCAACGCTATACTTGTCTGTCTCTGTAAAAAAAAAACGAATTGAAGCAAATTTTTGACAAAACGACGAGTGTAAATTTATGATTAAAAAAGACAATTATTGGGGTCACTTAATGGAAGGTAAAATACCCCTGTCGAACTTTTTTGGTTTTGGATATTCGGAAATCCACAGACTGAAGTCGAAATAGGATGAATGATTTCGGCTTATTCATCTGTTGCAGGCAGTTCGTGACCCGAACGGAATTTCGATAATCCCATTTAACATTCACATTTCCAGACGGAGTCCAACACGTTTCAGTAAAATTATAAATCGATTAGAAACATGGTGGTTATTAAACTACAGTCCTACCATAACACCAATAGAGCCAAAAAATAATTACGGCTACATATGAATTAATAACAAGCTCAATAAAATTAATGTGCACTATTTACGAAAGCAATAGTAAAATGAGTGTGATCGTAGTTTACAAGATTATGGTACATGCCCTATCGCATAATACCTCCTGATTTGCTGTGTAATCGACTTAAGTATGTCTGTGGCTGGTATTAAGCAGCCATATTAAATTTAGATTTGCAGCCTAGGACTATATTGAAGCCGTTAACTAATGCACGGGCCATGGAACAGGCGATAAAGGAATTAATTATATTATATATAGTTAAATTTATCAAGTATCATTTATTCCTGTATCATTTTTTAATTAAAAAATAACAGTTTAATTTTATAAGTATGAAAGAATTTTAGGATGTCTTATGAATTTTAAACAGTTAAAATGTATATATAGGGATACGTAAATCTAAATAAACTATTACAAATGCACCTGATTTTGAAAACTGTAATATTTTTTCAAGTGATGGCATTCAGAATATAAATTGTGAAAAAAAAATACGACACGCTGTAGATACCGATTCATGTCCCGCCCGCGTCTTCCTTTTTTTTTCAATATATAATATTTTCGTATATTTGTCCAGTATGAATACGTTTTCCTTATTGAACAATATTGATAAGATAAAAAACATGGAACTGGTCAATTTACCACTTCCTTTTCTGATAAACTGTCGCATTTTCGCTATCAACAAGTAGTCTTGTCATAGTGGCGACAATATATGTCATATTTCTAGTTTAATACATAAAATTTTTTTTAAATTTATACTCATAAGAAGCATATATTTTTGAGTATGTTAATTTAGGTATAAGCTTTATTATCATTATAATCTTTTGTAAAGGCAGTCTTTTCCATCAAGTACTTACATTTGTTACATACAAGGTGGATTCTATAACCATAAATTGTCATTATAAACAATTGATTGTTGGTGGAACTTTTCTGAGCCTTGGATATTCTTAAATCCACAGAGTGAAATCGAAATGCGGATTAAAACATGGATTTGGGTTGCGCACTTTGACAAAATGGTCGGTGCAAATACTGTATTAATAAAATACGTTTTCTGTCCTAGTGGGATTTTGCGCAACTTTACATGATACATTTTAATGTTTTTATTAAAATTACTCTTGATAAAACTTTCCACATAAATCTGTTAAACAAGAAGCTCGCATAAACCGGACAGCGACATCGCATCTTGTGGCCTGAGGTGAGACTAGCTAATGAACCCGTGGCTATGCAATATAG